AAAATCATTATTATTCACTATATAATTCATAATTATATCTATAATACAATTATAAATTTTATAGCAAATAATATGAGCTAATTGGCTGCGCATGTGATTATAACTATTATTTTTTTATATAATTATTGAGATTAATTAAGTTATTGGTAATATTTTTATTTTGATTTTAAAAATTTTAAAAATTACATGAATCATTTATTACTTTATTCATAATAAACATTTTAGGATCCTGTATATATAAATTTTTTTTTAAGATGAATATAATTTCTATGTTGTCCATGGTAAATTGCAAAGAATATAGGAAACATTCTACTTTTTTCAAAGTCGATATTTCAGAACATAAGATACAAAAAATCCCGTAAGATGTCAGGTCCTGTATCTCATCTATGATACATATACAATATTATCGATATAGTATGAAATGAGACAACAATGCTAATAGAATGAGAGAAATTATAATTAAATATCATTATATGATTTTTTACACGGTCAGTAATTCAGAATATAGTACACAATATTTCAAAGATAGTAAATCTATTCTGTATTTTATCTGTGGTTACATCCAAACAAAGTATAGATATGCTATGTAAGTGCTGCTCCCTGTACGTGATATAAGAATCATAAAATTTTTAAGGTTAACTTACTCTAATCCTAAAAACTAATGTGAAATTTATATCTGTTAATGATATGTATATTTAAATATCTTGACGAAAATTTGTTAGGTCAATGTTAGATTAGATTAGACCAGTGTTATTTAGTGTATAACATTTTGATTGTTAATGTTAATTTTAAAATTTTGATTATTATTGTATTTGGTGTATAAAACCAGTGTATAAAACAATGAATCAAATTAATTTTTAATCGAATCATTATAAAGAATAATTTAAAATATTGGAACGAAAATGATCCAGTCTTAAGAGAGAAATTATTGACAAAAAACTGAATTTAAGAAACGTATGAAAATATAATCGAAATAGATTGAAATGTTTAATTTGAATATATTATTTCGTAATTTTTGTTTTGATTTGATACTAGCAAATTATTTTCAAAAATTTTGGCGGTAAAAGTGTAGTGACACCTGGAGCATGTTTATTGTAGTTATACGGAACTCATTTTGATCAATTATCAACATTTGAATTTAAAAAACGGTATGTATCGTTTAAATATTCGAAATAAATTTTCAAATTATTGTCTTTTTTTACGTCTATGACATATAAAAGAAGTAAAATTGAATATTTTAAATATCAATAGCATTCATATCTAAGATGAAAAATTAGGATATTTTCAAATATTTTCTGTATTGAAATAAAATAATTATTCGATATTATTTATTTTTTCGTGAATATATCAACATGTCTATTAAAAAAAACGATTGATAATCATAATTACAATATATTTAAAGTATTTGAAATAATATATAATTAGAAAATCTTTGGTTGAATGATTGAAACAAAAAATTGAAGTGAGGTTATGATATTATCGAATGTATCTATTTAATCTTGTGATGATTAAGAATATTATATTATATTATATATGCACGTTTATATAAATATAATCTTTATTAATTTTTTAATTTAATGAAATAAATATATTTCATTTTACTATTACTCAACTTTCATGATATATTTTTAATTTGAAGAGAACGGAAGAGAAATAACTGCATCTATCATTATGGTGGAACTACCAAGACTTGCTTTGGATATTGCAGTTCCTCCTAATGCTCTTGCTCGTCGCGGAGGTGTTACTATTTCTGAAGATATTATCTTGACATTTCTTCAAGTAAGAAAAATTATTTTTTTCTCTATTGTTTATTATCTTCTCGAATTTTTAATAACTATGAATATATCTCATTCAATTCTTTATGCATCTTCTAAATCAGCTCGATATAAACTGCACTACTCGATAACTATTTTAATGCATCGGAAATATAAGAAAATTTATTTTATATTAAACAGTTATTTTTTATAAAATATAAATATATTTGAATTTAGATTAATTTACTTAAACTCTAATTAATGTTAATTTTCATTGTTTATAACAGAATTATATTGAAATAATAACTTTATCGAAAAATATAATATCGATCTTAAAATATATAAAGATCATTGATTGAATGAAATTATTGATACCAACAAGAGGAAATATTCATGTTAATAAAACACGATATTTCTTATCTGATCGATCCACAGAGTTCATATTAACTAAATATTTGTGGGTAATGTAACATCAGATATATTTTACGATATATAGAAGGAAATCAGTTCGTTTCACAGTCTCTTTGTATTATACACACTGAATGTATGTAATTCGCGATACGTCTGGCTTCGAAGGAATATTTCTATCGAGCGTGTACAATCTATCATTTGCACAAACATTAGGTAATCCGTGTTAAAATTAACTTCATTCAATTACTGATAGAGACAGAATACAATTACTTTTAATATAATTTCAATAGTTATCTTTAATTAAGTTCGATAAATAGATATTAAGTATATTTTATAAAGAATAAAAATAATTTCTTTTTTATGATAATTTTATCGCTTTTCTATAAAATTATTATTTTTAAAATTATTATTCATTCAATTTAACATGAAATAAAAATTATCAAAAATAACAATTCGAGAAATTAATTTAAAAATATTTTAAACATTCGATATTTTTAGTCATGTATATTTTTGCATACAAAATTGATTTTTATATCATATTAAAAGGATAGATTAAGTAAGATTAAGGAATCAAGGAATTGAGATAAAATTGATAAAATTATCAGTAGAAAAAATTTATTATTGATTTTTATCATTTTTTTTTTTGAACAAATTTTCTTCCTTTATAATACATTCCTAAGTTAGAGTTCTATTCTTAAAAATCAGTTCATAAATTTATTGAGAGATTGATCCGTGCAAGGAAAATCCTTAATGTCATTGAACCAGATGATCTGTCTGCTTACAGATGGATAAATTGTATTGAATTTTATTTTTTGAATTGAGAATTTAAATTGATGAATTATTCAATTACCAATTGACTGATAACATTTCTTAGATTATACACACTGTCAAAAATTTAATTCTTAATAATGCAGTAAATTTTTTATAAAAAATTTTTTAGAAATGAACAAATTCATTTTTCTTAAATTACATTCTAAAAATCTAATAATAACTTAATTAGTCAACTATATAACTATAATAAACTATATAAAACAATTATATTACAAATGAATCCAACACTGAATGATATCAAAGCTAAAAAAGTGTTTTTTTCCTTTATTATTTAAATTTAAAAGCTCCTTTTACGTTCAATAAAAATTTTCGATCATCGCAATAGCATGCATACCTCTCGGGACACTATACCATACAAAATTTCCCAATAGGGATGCTGCGAATAGGAGTGGCTCTCGAACTTAATGGTCATTGCAAATAGGAGCGAAAAGCAACGATACTCGAAACTATACAATCCAATAATAAAAGATCTTCGAATCGGATAATGCAAAATAATATATCTATAAAATGATTGCACATTTTTCCATTTATATACATGTTTCAATAACTGATAGTAGAGTTGTTGGTGATTGATTAAAGAAAGAAAATAATGAAATATGAGAATAGGAATAATCAAAGGGAAAAAAGATGGAACAGCGACAAGCCTTTCACACGGGAGAAGGTGCGCTTCAGGTGCGTGAAGTTAGGATCGATATTGCAACTGACTCCCTGGGCCATGACATGCCCCTGCGGCAGCCATCGGCTACACGCGATCGTTCTAAAATTAAATGATGAAATTCATTCCTTCCTTCTTTTTACCTGTCCTTTTCATTCACTTTCTTCTCTTTTCTCTTTTTTTCTCCCCTATCTTTCCCTATGTTTCTCTCTCTTTTTCTCTCTCCTTTTTCCTAACAATTATCTTCTTCATTAACTCTCAGTTTTTTTATGCTTTTTTTCTCTTTATTTTATATTTATGCGGTATTTTGTTTCTCTTTCATCCTGTTAATTTTTCCTCTCCGTTTTAGTTGCTTTACTTCTTTTATCTTTGCCCTTTTTTTAATCTTTTTTTTTTCTTCACTCGTATTCTTTTCGTTTCTTTTTTTTCGTAATCTTTTTATTTTTCTTTTTAATTGGACTCTTTATCATCCATTTTTTTTTCATCTATTTTCATCTCTTTTTCCCTTCACTTTTTGTTTATGCTTTCTCTTAATTTATTTTAATTTTTTTCATACGAATATTTAAAATTAAATATTATTATAATAAATATTTGTATATCATCTTTTTCGTATTATCCTTTTTTTCTTTCTTTTTTTTTTTTCATCAGTATATTTCGCTTCGATTCTCTCCGATACCCTGTTTCATTTTTTTATTCCATTTTTTCCGAAAGGAGAGAAAGAATTTTCTTTATATTTTTTATATTTTACGATCTCCTTTCCACTACTTTTTTTCTTCTCATCGTTTGACGCTTTTCCTCCCACGATGTTTCGTCATACGCATTCGTGTCACGAAACATGTGCGACATCTTATCAGTGACGTAACGCGGACTGTGTCATTCAGTGCGTAATCGTCCTTGGGAGATCCTGAGAATCACAAATCCTTTAACCTTTTTTATATCGTATTAATTTTTCATCGCTGTAATTTCAGTTACAATTTATCCATAAAAAAAGATTGCGATTTTATTGAAAGAAGATGGATTAAATGTATTTTATGAATCATTGATGATTCAGGAAATAAATCTTTCGTTTCAAATAATATTATTAAAATATAAGAGTATGTCAATTCAAATATAACTCAATTTTTTATTATTAAAAATTTCTCACGTTGCTAAATTTATATTGTAATTAATAATTGGCAAATTATTATTATCGTTTAGTAAAGCGTTGTGCTATCCATATTGTTAATTGTATTGAAACAATAGTGCGGATAAAGATAAAGCACGGTACAAATCTTCGGTTTCATTCGCACAAAGAGGATTCTTCATCCTTTGAAATCTTATCTGATAGCGATGATTGAATGACTAGTTTTTTTGTAGATTGAAAAGCAAAGCACATAAAAGAAATTGAATAACGAAAATAATTAATTTACTAAAAAAAAGAAATTAAGATTGAAATTCACTTACGAATATATTTTTCTATAAAAATTAATACATTGTTTGCAGAAAATTCTAATGACATGTTTAATATTTATAAACGTGCGTTTGATATTTTACTGATAATGTATAGATGATTCTTTCCTCAGGTCAAATCAATTAATCCTGCGACAATGTATTGGTTGCACGCGATATTGCTAAATTTAAACCAGCTCCTTGGCACCTGCACGTACATTTCTGTGTGACGTTTACTAAAGTCAGCTTCATAAATGCAATCATTATAGTAAACTCGATTTAGTTCTAAGAAGGAAATAACAATATAGTGTATCCCAAACTGGCTTGTGAATACGTAGATTTCCTTTTGTTCGTTTCCTGAAATAAGCATCGCATTCACCATTATTCCTTTCATCTATTTAAAGCTTAAAATTATAGAGAATCGCGAATACTTTCACGATTGTAAAAATAGACTGTTTACTTGTTATTTATCGGTCGATTAACTGTACTCGTTAAACGTTCATCAACCAATTCGAATCAAATATCTTTTATAATTAAGCGGAAAACGACATGATTAACGATCATACCAATTCGTTATCTTCGTTAATGGTTTATTAGGAGTTCTTCTTACATACGTTACGTACGTTGTACGTTACAAAATAAAAAAAAAATCATCAAGAAAGAAAATTGTCAAATCAAAACGTCACTCCGTATCGACTATATGCGGCACCGCGACCCGATTCTCAAGCAGTGCAATCTTCGGTGAACCTCGCACACTCTCGTGAACGTTCGGCTACTTCTAGGCGAGTGTCTTCTTCGCTTCGAGTCTCATTGATCTCTCGGACGCGGTTGCGCGCAATAGTCGGCAGACGGCGGTGGTACTCTCGCCGACCAATCAGCTGTCGTGATTCCCTAGCTACGCTCGAGTCTCGTGGTCCTTGGCTAGCCGGCCTCTTGTTGTTTTCCATCGTGGGCTTCGCTAACCCGTTCGGTTGTTCGGTGGTGCGGCGCGTTACCAAACGTCGCTAAAACGTCAAACGTGTACGCCAGAAATTTGATAAAAAACGCGTGGACGACGGCGGCCACGACGCGGACGACAATTAATAGCGACGTCTTCGGTGACAAGGTTCGAGCGGATCGTACGCCCCCTTCTTGTCGCCGCCGTCACCATGATACCGTACTCCACGTGCTTGTCTTTTGGGGGCCGACGCGACGCTCGTCGCTGGGTGGTCCTACACGACGAGTCCTCTCCCTACTACCCGGTGAGTCGCAGTACGAATACGCACGAGCACGCACGAACGTGTCACGTTCCTCGACTAAAAAGACGCGCGGCCGCCACCACTCGAAATCTCTTCTTTTTCTATTCTAGTGCGATCTGAAACTAGGGGAAAGTTGTGTTTTGGCAGCGTTGTGTTGATGCACACTTCACACATACACACGTAGACACGCATACTCATTTGTGGATACGAGTACTGCATATGCATTTCGATTCGCGTGCGCGACAATGCCTCCGGGTTCGATGAACGTCTTCGATTGCCTCGATTCATTTCGATGTATGCAGAATGCATTTGCCGGATAAATCCATTCGATTCCTCTTTCCGACTGACATTTGATATGTAGACGATATATTGTCGTGCGATACATCGAAGCTGTATATTTTTTTTTTCGAAAATTTTAACGATAATTTTTTATTTTTTTGATTTCGTTGATTTTTTAACGTTTGATTACCGGGTTTGATGTATATTGGAACAGGAAAATTTAAACTGCGTGTATCTCGTATAATAAATTATATATTTTTAAATTTTATGTAATTCATGAGTAAAAGGTACAGTGAGTTATTTTATGATTGACCTAAATACATGTGCAAATGATTCTCATCTTCTTTTCGAAATTATTTTAACTACAAAATTACAATAATTATATAGGGAAAAGTATAATAAATGTGACATGAAAATTGAGTTAAATGAAGAGTGCTTACATGTGTAATAATACAATTTGACAATGTATTTCAATTAATAAATACAGTGAATGAACTTGATTCAAATGGAAAAATTATTTATCATTATTCGTTCGTTAATCATAATTCTTTTTTATTAATATTAATAATATATAATGTTTTCGTACAAAAATTTATAATTTTCGATATAAATCGAGGATAAAATATATTTTATTGAATTATATTCCTGTAATTTAAAGAATGATTTGTCTTTTCTTATCATTCAACTGGATGAAACCATGACAATGGTAGATGATAGGAAATAATAGGATTTAAAGTTTTATCAAATAATCCGGTAATCAGATAAGTCTATCCATGAATATTAAAATGAAATGAGCACGGTCATTGCAGGTTATTATAAAATGGAATTGATTCCACTTGCAAATGAGTTGCATTTCTTCTTTTGCTCTGATCCAAAATATGAATATTTATCTATGGAATAGCTTTTCTCATTTTCATGGAATTAGTATTTAAACATTTCAAGCATTTCAATTATTAAAATGATAAGTTTGTTTGAGCAATTAAACACTACAATGGCAATAAACAAGGTAAAACGTCTAATTTTGTATTTCTGGTTAATATATTATATTTTCTTTTATATATATATTCTCATTTCTCGAGAATTTCATTTCGTTATTAAAATTAAATTTATTTATTCAATTTTACAAATTTAGACAGAAATTAGAATTATAAAAATATTATCATCAAAAAAAGTAATTATAATTAATTTTATTACAAACTAAAATATAATCATGCTTAATGATTAAATAATTTTAATAATACAGTGAAAAAAATACTTTAATTTCTTCGTAAAGATAAAAAGTAATGCGATCATGTGTCACACAAAAAAATGGAGAAAAAAATTTGAAATGTAAAATAATTTGTGCAAAAATGCATCCAGGGTATATCGTAAATGCATTTTTAAGAGTTTGCAAAAAAGTTGATTACGCACTGTCGAGCAAAATATGCGTCCTTTGAAAGGTGGGTCATATCGAAGGGTTGCTATAAACGAATTATTTCACGGTGATTGTTGTTCACGGTTGACATTTTGTCACTGTAGGTGTAATCGATTAAAAATTATTTAAGTGAATATAACATTTTTTTTTCTCTCTAAACCTAATCGATTTTAAAAATGAAAATTGATGAAATAATTATCATGCAAAAATCACAATTGCAAAAATATTACAAACTAATTAAAAGTATAATGACAATGATAATTTATTTTTAATAATTTTTAATAATTTTTCTTTTCTCTATCGTGCATTTTTAATTTCGAATGTTCATTTTTTTTTATTAATTTCAATTTTAATAAAATTAAACAAGAAAATTAGAGTTTAGAAAATATTTGATTGAATTAAATATTAAAAATTTTATTCATAGAATTGAAATATTAGAATTTTTTTTTTAAATAAAAATTAGATAGACTGGAAGATTCTTTGTTTAAACGGATGAAGTATGTGATAATCGTGTAGTTCCTTTGTAGTTCGTTCACACGTTCTTCTGCCCCCTTTATTTTTCATTATATCGATCGATAAATACTTCCTTGTATTTTTCTATTTATACAACTTATGCAGGTTGTTCCATTAACCGGGACATTTGTCAGAGAAATTTAATTTACAGTTTGCTCAAATCAATTATTTTTTTTAATAGCATATTTTCACAATAAAACTCAATAAAAAAAATGGAATGTTAAATGATATTTAACGATACTCAATTTTTCAACAATATTCAATATTGTTGTCCATTAAAGATAAATAATCAGAGAATAATTTTTTCCATGAATTTTTCAAACATATTTTTTTTAACTGGATATACAATAAAAATTGATTGTATCCATTATTCACTTTTATTTTAAACAAAACTTCATAATGTTAGTTAAAACTGATTTTTCGATATTGTACGATAAAAAAAATTAAACTCGAAACAGTTTAGAATTGTAATCAATCAATTTACATAATTATCGCGAGAAAGGAGGAAAACAATCATTGAAAATATAAATTTCTCGTGTATTAATTTTTTCTTTTATATTTAATCTTTTATGAATTTACAGTCATATTATTGGGGGAGAGGGGAAGATAGAGAGCAAATGGAATGTTATTTAGAAGACGAAATAAATCCAGAAATGCTATAAATTAACACAAATATACTCGATAGCCTTGTCGGATAAAGATTTAACGTAATATTTATTTTTTCGAATTGACCTAAAAAAATCAGGCATATTTTTTTCTTATTTTCATTTTTCTTAGCGTGTGTGACGCATGGATACAATTTCTGTATCGTTTCTGATCTAATTCTGTAATCCATTTGTTCTCGTAGATTTTCATTCTCATCATCTGATCGTAAATTAAGGCATTTCGAGAATATTTCGTAACCTTGCCCCCCTTTACAACTAATTGGGACGCAAATATACAGGCTATTTCGCGATATGTAAAACACGTTCATTATTAATTTGTGTAAAAGAAAAGAAAAAGAAAAAAAAAAAAAAATAAAAGTTTCATTGGATATATTTATAAAATTTTATTTTTCTCTCCTCCCTCCTTCTTTTGTTTTTTCGTTATAAATTGTTAAAATTCAAAAATATAAAAAAAAATCTACTATGCATATCATGCATGTGAAAAGTGAATTTTTATATCCTTTTTTTTTTTTTTTATTATTATTCCTGGATATTATATATACATTTAATTAATGTAAAAGCTTTGGTTTTGAATTTAGCAAAACCTTGCACAGGTTTTTTTTTTTTTTCCACATCGCTCTTACATTCGAATGGTTTTCCATTAGGCAAATTTTGCGAGAGCCGAGATATATAAATGAAAATGTGATGCTGCGGTTCAATGAATACAATGCATAGATTAATATATCGCAAATACGTAGTTTAATTATTTTAAGCATACTTTAAAAATTTCCTTCCTTTTATTCGATTCTCCTTTTTCGTAATGATTTTCCAATATCGTTTTCGTAATATCGAATTTATCCAATTTTTTTTAATAATCCAGTCGTTCAACGATCTTCCAATTTTAATCCAATTTTAAATTAATTTAAGAATCAAATAATTCTATTCGAGATGTTTTCCATCTTTTTGTACACGTATTAATTTCCCCATGAAAATTTCGCAAAAAGGAAATTAAAGATCCCTTCTATTCACAAAATCTTACCATTAATCTGGCCATTAATTGGTCAACATTATTGATCTCTGATTGACCATTACCTTGGCCACTGATTGACCATTTACTGACCAATCATTAGTCGATCGTGGCTAAATAACGATCCGCCAATTACCGAACGTAGCCTATTATTATTATTCGAAATAAAAAATGAAACACAAATAGAACGAAATGAATAATATCATTAAATTAAACCTTTAAATATAATGGAGAACAATTTGATAAATTTAGCAATTAATCTTTTCGTTTAATCTTTAATTTTTTAAGAAGAATCAAGTGAATGATGGAAAATTTACATTAATATAATGATTGGGATGATAAAATATTCTCTCTCTCTCTCTCTCTCTCTCTCTCTCTCTCTCTCTCTCTCTC